CCCCCCCTGCCGGCCCGGCCTACACATCATAGAGCGTGGACGCCCGCGCCCGCGCGCATAAACACACCAACGACCAGCGCCGGTTGACTTACTCACCCAGTCGCCCACCTGAGAGTGCGAGAGAGTTGACTTTCTGCAGGCTCTCTCGAATGCAGATTCGCCTGGCTGGGTGTGTGCATACGCGTTTACGCGCCAACACGTGCTTTTAATGTTCCGCTCCCTTTCTCGGCCACTTTTGCCATAAAAAGGAGTAGAAGCTTTCTTCCTCAAAAGACCCATCTCTGTTTTTCTGTTTACGCCAACTCACTACATAATTGACAGCCCAGTCTAGTAGAATGTAGCCGATAAGAGGCAAGATTTAGACGGTCGTAAAGGGTTTACTGGTAGGCTGCAATAAATTGCTACTGCCTGTCCGATTTAGCACTGACACTAAGCCAACCCATCTGTCGATCGCGTTGCCACTATACGTGTGTGGCAATTGATATTCTATGCCGCTTTTCCTCCTGCTCTTCTTCTTCCTCCTTTCAATTTACTAGCAGTGTTTTCGGTAATTTCCATGGTGAGGGAGGGTTTTGGTAGTAGACGTTTTATGCTGCCTCAGGTGGAGGTACGATGTTGTCAGTCTCTGATTCTAGTTGAAATGAAGGACAGGAATCGAACTCTGAAGTGTTGGTTATATTCGCCGTAGCTGCTCTTACCCTGGACCTAGACCACGAATCCGCCCTCGCGGCTAATGGCATGGTACGGCAAACGAGCTGCTGGGCGACCCCCTGACCCGAAACCCAGACAATATTCTATCTTGAAATCGCACTCTGCCAATTGGGGCGAACCCATACCCGGCGAAGGGCCCACATGACCGACAAACAGTTAAAACCCGTTACTGTGCCTTAATTACTCCCCTAACAGGAGTCTGGACCCCACCCCCTCCGACACATCTGTTCTCCTTTTTAGACATTGATTAACATTCTCACTCTCCGATGTGTGGCGCAGCCTCGACGTTTTAAAGTAGTGTATTTCAGACAAAGTGTCAAGCCCTAATTTTGTGGTCTCCCGAACCACTATCATCCTCTTCCCTGCTGACGTCAAACCAGGCCAGAC